GTTACTTTCGGAAGTAAACGGTAATGGACTTACTCTGTGCACAATCCTGAGCCCGTGTATATACTGCACAGCGCTAAACAACTGTAACATCACCTCGCGAGCTGTGCTCTCGGAGAAGGCATTTCTGGATACCAGATCCTCAAAGAGTTCTCCGCCGCACGCCAGTTCCATAACGAGGTAATATTTATTAAAAGCGGGATAAGAATGATGAAGCTTCAGAATGTTGTGATGATTCATTTCCTGTAGAATCTGGGAAAAAAGATTAAATTTCTCATTAACTTAAAATCTGGTAAAGCAAAATTGATTAATAATTAAAAAATATCTGTTGAGGCAGAAGTACGGTGATAAATAAGGAAAAAACTACAGCAACCGAACCAGTAACTTATAAGTGATTTATTACAAACCAGTCATTTATTACAAACCTGAGTCAGTAAATTACATTACAAGACAAAACAGTAAAATTGATCGAATCTTAATTTATTCTCCGCTGAAATTAGTTGAGCAAGCCGACATCAAACGAAGAGAGGATGCCTGTTTTGCAAGATCCCTGAGAAAGGTTTTGATAAAGGAATAAATAAAACTAGAAAGTGGTTTAAATCTCGGCAATGGGCTGAATAAAGAGTTTCCCTATAACTTTCAATAGTTATAAGAAACACACACTTTAGTCGGCTTGCTTTAGTATATGATTTTTTTTGTTTTTTGTTTTTTTTTTTAATTACAATATTTATGCCTTATTCAATCAGAATTGCGTTCTGTGGTACGGTTTTATTGACCAATCAGGTAGATAACTTCTCACAAGCTTTCCTGCGCTTTCATGTATGCATATCTGGAAATTGCGTTCAATTTAATAAAGTTTCTAGGGTTTTATTGCTAATACACTTGCCACTAAACTCATTAACTGCATCTATACTTATTTTCTTTGATTTTAGTGCTCTGTCTGTCGAACAAGATTATCTTAATCCAGGCACTGATCTTCTCAGATGATAAGATTTTTACACTAAGACAATAGAGAATATGTTAGGCGAGCAACACTAAACCCTAACCCTAAGCTGACTTTTGTCGTATTTCACACCCCAGAAAACAAAATCGTGCCAGTCGAACAAAGCACTGGGTAAACATTTAAATTCTCGTCACGTCCCGTGTTCAGATAACTTTTTCAATATCATGGAGATAATTATTAATTCAAAACGGTTCACTACACATCACTGTCATTATATGTTTACATGATGTTTGGTTTTAACAAGTGGTTAAGCGGTCGACTTCATCAGTTCCCCACTTCCTTCCTTTGTCCATTTTTCTTTACCAGCACGGACTCACCGTTCATTTCGATCAGTGAAGGAATAAAAAAATAGTTTATTCGTGTTTTGGACCTCGCATGTAAATTATGACCACAGGTTATGCGGAAATTCACGTACTTGCGTGATCTTTTTTCCTGTTTTGCGCAGTGTTTAATCAGCGCCATGCATAATTGGCCCAAAGGCACTATTGTTCTGAAAAAATTAATTGTCGTCACAAACGCTTCTTTACGCAGCTTTATGACATTCTTTTGTTAAACTCAACTTATTACATCGTCTGACTTCGCAGACCAATGGTGTACACGTGCGATTCAAAGCTTTTAGCGGCCTTTGGACTTGTAATCTATTGTAAGTGATCCGGTCGTGGGGTAAACTTAACAACTTTTGTTGGAGTTTGTGAATTATACATTGTATGAAGTGATGATAAAAATCAAACAAATTAAAGTTAATATGGATACATAAATCTCGAGAAAGTGTCAGTAAAATTATTTATTTGCCTACACTATAGATTGCGAACACTGGAATAAAATGTGCATCCGCGAATTCTGATAACGCATAAGAAGACAAGGGATGTACACGTGTTCCAAAAAATAGGGTACTTCAATCTCAGCGAATAATTTGTACGCCAAAAGTTAAACAAGCCTCGCTTGGACGCCGGTCACGTTACTTACCTTTGCAGCATGTCTTGGTCTCCCAACTAGTTAGCTTTTCAAAGGATAGCAGTGGCATACGCATCATAAACTGTACAAACGGAAAAACATTTACCTCGATTTCTTGCTCAATTCTTTCTCTCTGTTCGTCTGTGCCATAAATCATTTCCTTCACTGCGAACGCTTGCCTCGTCCGTTTATCGATGCATCTCTTGACTTCGCAGAAGGAACCTTGGCCCAAAATTTCCCTGACATCATACTGGCACACAAATTCCATAACTTGCCGCCTTCCAGTTAATTTTCTCAGCGTATAGTTTCAACTCTGTTCGTATATCCCGGCAGTGTATGCCGGTTTCAAAAGAACTCCATAAGCCGACTCGATTAATTAAAGTAGAAGAGGTTAAAAACCCACAAAAGTAAAAACCGTTTTCAACAAGTTGATTAAAAATGATCAAAAATATATGAGTCTTCTCGCTATTCGACGAGTCGAGACAGACTGCTGAGACGAATTTCTAAACGTGTTTCTCGATTCAAGCTGTGAGATCTTGTGAGCTTTTGTTTTATCGTGAAGTGGCGTTCAGTCGTCATAGAAAGCTAAATCAATAAGCATGTGTCAAAGCGCACATCACATTGAAATAGTAAGTAGTGTTTGATTTACTTCGCCGATCAAACACAATGGACAGCAAACTTAGCATAAACATCTCATATTAAACGCAAAAGCGATAAGCCGTTGCTACTGCTATTCGTAATGGTGTTAGGACTTCATTTAATTTTATGGAGATTCAGTTGCTTTCAATAGAAGCAGTTAAACAAGAACTTAAGTTGACTACAGATGGAAGTTTCTGACTGTAAGTGTCAATTTCAAAAGCAAACAAGTCAAGTGTAATAAATTCGCTATGACGTAGCATAATTGAAATCTATGCTGCACAAGATCGTGTCAGCGCAAATGTCATGCATTTGTTAAGTACGTTGACGTTTAAGTCTACTCAGTTAGAACTGAATTCTGTTTCCAGGATTTTTTTCGCATCTCAGCGCCGATACGATCACCGGAAAAACCTTGGATACGAGGTTGTGCATATGACACCGGGCTTCTTCAATTTCGTCCGGTATAGCTTCGCGCGGGTCTTCACGCGGGACTTCGCGTGATACGCGAGAGGAGGGATAATTCAGTTGCGGGGCACTCGTCTCATTTCCTCAAATAAACGGTTGCATCCTGCGCATCTGACGCGCAAAAGAACTGGATGGGGGAGGAGATTGATGGATAGAAATAAAACTGTCAGAGGGCCAGCATTGTGGCAGGCCTAACCAAAAAGGCAAAGACACTAAGCAGCGTCCACACCAAGCCGAAGAAATTTGAAAACGCAGCTTTATTTCTACAGTCCACCCTAATCCGTCACGATTTAAAACAGAGTTGTCCAAAATTCTCTCCAAACCGGTGGATTTTGAAAACGGCGGCTTTGCGTTTTGAAAACGGAGATTTTCGAAAATGATGGCGTCACGATGATCAAGTGATTTCCCTGATCGAGTTTTCCTCAAACACAAACCCAAAATGACCAATGATTGTTACGTTTTAACATTCCTCCGGCCGGCATAGTGTATGGAAAACATTTGATGCGTTTACAGAGTGAAACCTCCGTTTTCAACTTCCTACGGCGTAGTGTGGGCAACACACTGTAATGAAGAGTACATGTATCACAAATTTGCAGCTCAGTAGACTGTCTTCAAATTCTTCATCCGCGGCTAATTAAGGCACAAGTCATATAAATATATCTTCTATTTAATAAATTTTTAAACCAAAAATATTGAACATCTAACTTTGAAGCTTCTCATTAAAATAAGTTAGTTTGAAATAAATGTCAAGGCAAGATAAAGCAATTTTTTTAAAGTAAATTCAATCTATATCATTGTTAAAAACAAGTCTTGGCAAAACACTTTTTGACTGCATTTGCCAATAGTCAGCCATTGAATAATGCTAAATATCATTAGATAAGGGTACAAGCGGTATTTTGTTGTCTCTCTTTTGCCCTAAAGTCCGCGAGGAATAATGCAAAAACTAAACGAACGAGCACGCCTGATATTAGAGAAGCTAGTAGCAGAGCCTCGAGTCGTTGGCCGCTCAATAAAATATGGTGGTAATGGCATGAAACGAGTTGTTAGGGGTTGCTCGTCATACTTGAGGGCAAAATATTTCCCCGTTTCATTATGATGGCAGAGTAGGCAAGTTTTATTGGTCGGAGGAAGGCCTAATATGGCCGAAATATAGCTGAAAACAAAACTGTCAATATAAATAAGTTATATGGTATTCACTGGATCATACCAATGCAAAGAGAATGCTTTAATTCTCTCGGCTTCTATCGACTTATCTAACACCGCTTGAGGGGTTGTCACGAGTCGCTTCAGGGCGTTCGGGTTAATGAGGGAGCAGCCTCGTTAAGGGAGCAGTTTGTGCTTCTTCCCAACTTATTAAGTAATCACATGGGACAGTCTCGGTTTTCACGGTATATAGCTCAAAAGGATTGCGTAATTGATATTTCCAAGTTACAATACTACTGAGTTGTTGAGTGAGTGTAGCTAACTTTGACGTGAGCTTTTCAAGGAAAGTCCTCAAGAAGACATACATACCCCGCGTAAAAGGCCTTTACGATTCAACATCAGGAGTTTATAATGATAAAATAAAATATTTTTACTTTTATCCAGAATATTAAAACTAGCTGTCATCGTTTGGTATTTTTTTGCCTACTCTGTCTCTTGCCTTTCCTTCTCCAGTCTTTACTTTAATATAAACTGAACTCCTAAAAGCTCTTGATCTTTTGGGTTTTAAGTCAGTGAGGTGATATTCCTTCGGTGTTTTGGCTAAATCGCTGCCAAGTCCATTGACGTCTTCGTCGATTTTTTCAAGTCTCTTTTCTTCCTCGTGTTCTTTGTGTGATAGAATTTCTTGCACTTCATGTTCTAATTCTGGGTCCGGTGTATAGGAATCCTTCCGCGTCAGACGAACTATGTTTTCTTGGCCGGGTGTGAAGGTGAGCCTGTAAAATAACGTTAAAAAATTTATACTAATTATGCAGCCATATCCGTCAGTATTCTTCAGCTTCCCCACCACCTTTACACTTAAGACGTTCTAGTTTTAGAGTTGCACCATTACTGGCCTAAAAGCTTTTGACGCAAACTTTTAAGGAGTGGATAACTGCCTTGCGTTCAACATTTCCTCCGTTCAAAAATTTTAATTTTGAATCAACGCAAACAGATCGGAAGGTCAAAGTATCCCTGTCACATGACAGCCACTTCTCCCACGCTTGCTCTCGTCCTGAGGACGAGGCAAAGTAGTTGAACACCATACCTATTCCTAGCGATAAGCCCCAACACTACTCCCTTGAGTTTTCTTCTCGCGTTAAAGGCTGTGAGTCGAACAAACGTTGTTTGCTTGTGGAGGGAGGGGATGACATCTCCTTTAGATATCCACTCGTGGCGCAAAGCTTGAGAAGCCGTTATTCTTTGTTCAGGATTCACGATCAACTGCAAAATAGCAAATTAAAGTTGTGATAAACTGGAGTTGTCACTTCTCATAATCCCAACCGTAACAGGTTGAAGTGGCCTGAAACCGAATAAAACAAGACAAAAGATTTGAGAAATTGCTTTGTTAAAGGAGCTCAGTTACGGTACTTGGAGTTATTTTGGCCACGCACAAAATTGCATTCAAATGGAAGGAAACCTGAAAATAGTAATCTACTAAGTAAGAAAAACACCACAGAGATAACAAGAAACAATAAAGGAGCAAGTATGTTTAAGGATGGAGAAGATTTGCTCGGATTAAAAACGACGAACTTGAAAAAATTGGGCTAAACTTTGTAAGATGCGCAAACCGTGACTAGCTCCTTTAAGCTGATGGAAGTTAGTCGATCAAAAGCATCGGTCCAATAGTCCACTATTCCAACGTAATTTATGACGTGTAGATTTCGTTTGAAAACATTCACGACCTTAATTAGAAAAACTATTTCACCCAGTGTATACAGTGGAATCCCAATTTTTCGAACCCTCAGTTTTTCGACCCTCACGATAACTCGACCCCTGAAAAGTCGTTTCCCCTCCTCAGTCGAACACTGTAATTTTACCCCCGATTTCTCGAACTATCCGATTTTTCGAACCAATTTTCGTTTCCCCTGGAGGTTCGAAAAATGGAAATTTCACTGCAGTTTAAAATGGAATCCTGACCATTTTCTTGATGAGATCCNAGCGGGATAAGAATGATGAAGCTTCAGAATGTTGTGATGATTCATTTCCTGTAGAATCTGGGAAAAAAGATTAAATTTCTCATTAACTTAAAATCTGGTAAAGCAAAATTGATTAATAATTAAAAAATATCTGTTGAGGCAGAAGTACGGTGATAAATAAGGAAAAAACTACAGCAACCGAACCAGTAACTTATAAGTGATTTATTACAAACCAGTCATTTATTACAAACCTGAGTCAGTAAATTACATTACAAGACAAAACAGTAAAATTGATCGAATCTTAATTTATTCTCCGCTGAAATTAGTTGAGCAAGCCGACATCAAACGAAGAGAGGATGCCTGTTTTGCAAGATCCCTGAGAAAGGTTTTGATAAAGGAATAAATAAAACTAGAAAGTGGTTTAAATCTCGGCAATGGGCTGAATAAAGAGTTTCCCTATAACTTTCAATAGTTATAAGAAACACACACTTTAGTCGGCTTGCTTTAGTATATGATTTTTTTTGTTTTTTGTTTTTTTTTTTAATTACAATATTTATGCCTTATTCAATCAGAATTGCGTTCTGTGGTACGGTTTTATTGACCAATCAGGTAGATAACTTCTCACAAGCTTTCCTGCGCTTTCATGTATGCATATCTGGAAATTGCGTTCAATTTAATAAAGTTTCTAGGGTTTTATTGCTAATACACTTGCCACTAAACTCATTAACTGCATCTATACTTATTTTCTTTGATTTTAGTGCTCTGTCTGTCGAACAAGATTATCTTAATCCAGGCACTGATCTTCTCAGATGATAAGATTTTTACACTAAGACAATAGAGAATATGTTAGGCGAGCAACACTAAACCCTAACCCTAAGCTGACTTTTGTCGTATTTCACACCCCAGAAAACAAAATCGTGCCAGTCGAACAAAGCACTGGGTAAACATTTAAATTCTCGTCACGTCCCGTGTTCAGATAACTTTTTCAATATCATGGAGATAATTATTAATTCAAAACGGTTCACTACACATCACTGTCATTATATGTTTACATGATGTTTGGTTTTAACAAGTGGTTAAGCGGTCGACTTCATCAGTTCCCCACTTCCTTCCTTTGTCCATTTTTCTTTACCAGCACGGACTCACCGTTCATTTCGATCAGTGAAGGAATAAAAAAATAGTTTATTCGTGTTTTGGACCTCGCATGTAAATTATGACCACAGGTTATGCGGAAATTCACGTACTTGCGTGATCTTTTTTCCTGTTTTGCGCAGTGTTTAATCAGCGCCATGCATAATTGGCCCAAAGGCACTATTGTTCTGAAAAAATTAATTGTCGTCACAAACGCTTCTTTACGCAGCTTTATGACATTCTTTTGTTAAACTCAACTTATTACATCGTCTGACTTCGCAGACCAATGGTGTACACGTGCGATTCAAAGCTTTTAGCGGCCTTTGGACTTGTAATCTATTGTAAGTGATCCGGTCGTGGGGTAAACTTAACAACTTTTGTTGGAGTTTGTGAATTATACATTGTATGAAGTGATGATAAAAATCAAACAAATTAAAGTTAATATGGATACATAAATCTCGAGAAAGTGTCAGTAAAATTATTTATTTGCCTACACTATAGATTGCGAACACTGGAATAAAATGTGCATCCGCGAATTCTGATAACGCATAAGAAGACAAGGGATGTACACGTGTTCCAAAAAATAGGGTACTTCAATCTCAGCGAATAATTTGTACGCCAAAAGTTAAACAAGCCTCGCTTGGACGCCGGTCACGTTACTTACCTTTGCAGCATGTCTTGGTCTCCCAACTAGTTAGCTTTTCAAAGGATAGCAGTGGCATACGCATCATAAACTGTACAAACGGAAAAACATTTACCTCGATTTCTTGCTCGATTCTTTCTCTCTGTTCGTCTGTGCCATAAATCATTTCCTTCACTGCGAACGCTTGCCTCGTCCGTTTATCGATGCATCTCTTGACTTCGCAGAAGGAACCTTGGCCCAAAATTTCCCTGACATCATACTGGCACACAAATTCCATAACTTGCCGCCTTCCAGTTAATTTTCTCAGCGTATAGTTTCAACTCTGTTCGTATATCCCGGCAGTGTATGCCGGTTTCAAAAGAACTCCATAAGCCGACTCGATTAATTAAAGTAGAAGAGGTTAAAAACCCACAAAAGTAAAAACCGTTTTCAACAAGTTGATTAAAAATGATCAAAAATATATGAGTCTTCTCGCTATTCGACGAGTCGAGACAGACTGCTGAGACGAATTTCTAAACGTGTTTCTCGATTCAAGCTGTGAGATCTTGTGAGCTTTTGTTTTATCGTGAAGTGGCGTTCAGTCGTCATAGAAAGCTAAATCAATAAGCATGTGTCAAAGCGCACATCACATTGAAATAGTAAGTAGTGTTTGATTTACTTCGCCGATCAAACACAATGGACAGCAAACTTAGCATAAACATCTCATATTAAACGCAAAAGCGATAAGCCGTTGCTACTGCTATTCGTAATGGTGTTAGGACTTCATTTAATTTTATGGAGATTCAGTTGCTTTCAATAGAAGCAGTTAAACAAGAACTTAAGTTGACTACAGATGGAAGTTTCTGACTGTAAGTGTCAATTTCAAAAGCAAACAAGTCAAGTGTAATAAATTCGCTATGACGTAGCATAATTGAAATCTATGCTGCACAAGATCGTGTCAGCGCAAATGTCATGCATTTGTTAAGTACGTTGACGTTTAAGTCTACTCAGTTAGAACTGAATTCTGTTTCCAGGATTTTTTTCGCATCTCAGCGCCGATACGATCACCGGAAAAACCTTGGATACGAGGTTGTGCATATGACACCGGGCTTCTTCAATTTCGTCCGGTATAGCTTCGCGCGGGTCTTCACGCGGGACTTCGCGTGATACGCGAGAGGAGGGATAATTCAGTTGCGGGGCACTCGTCTCATTTCCTCAAATAAACGGTTGCATCCTGCGCATCTGACGCGCAAAAGAACTGGATGGGGGAGGAGATTGATGGATAGAAATAAAACTGTCAGAGGGCCAGCATTGTGGCAGGCCTAACCAAAAAGGCAAAGACACTAAGCAGCGTCCACACCAAGCCGAAGAAATTTGAAAACGCAGCTTTATTTCTACAGTCCACCCTAATCCGTCACGATTTAAAACAGAGTTGTCCAAAATTCTCTCCAAACCGGTGGATTTTGAAAACGGCGGCTTTGCGTTTTGAAAACGGAGATTTTCGAAAATGATGGCGTCACGATGATCAAGTGATTTCCCTGATCGAGTTTTCCTCAAACACAAACCCAAAATGACCAATGATTGTTACGTTTTAACATTCCTCCGGCCGGCATAGTGTATGGAAAACATTTGATGCGTTTACAGAGTGAAACCTCCGTTTTCAACTTCCTACGGCGTAGTGTGGGCAACACACTGTAATGAAGAGTACATGTATCACAAATTTGCAGCTCAGTAGACTGTCTTCAAATTCTTCATCCGCGGCTAATTAAGGCACAAGTCATATAAATATATCTTCTATTTAATAAATTTTTAAACCAAAAATATTGAACATCTAACTTTGAAGCTTCTCATTAAAATAAGTTAGTTTGAAATAAATGTCAAGGCAAGATAAAGCAATTTTTTTAAAGTAAATTCAATCTATATCATTGTTAAAAACAAGTCTTGGCAAAACACTTTTTGACTGCATTTGCCAATAGTCAGCCATTGAATAATGCTAAATATCATTAGATAAGGGTACAAGCGGTATTTTGTTGTCTCTCTTTTGCCCTAAAGTCCGCGAGGAATAATGCAAAAACTAAACGAACGAGCACGCCTGATATTAGAGAAGCTAGTAGCAGAGCCTCGAGTCGTTGGCCGCTCAATAAAATATGGTGGTAATGGCATGAAACGAGTTGTTAGGGGTTGCTCGTCATACTTGAGGGCAAAATATTTCCCCGTTTCATTATGATGGCAGAGTAGGCAAGTTTTATTGGTCGGAGGAAGGCCTAATATGGCCGAAATATAGCTGAAAACAAAACTGTCAATATAAATAAGTTATATGGTATTCACTGGATCATACCAATGCAAAGAGAATGCTTTAATTCTCTCGGCTTCTATCGACTTATCTAACACCGCTTGAGGGGTTGTCACGAGTCGCTTCAGGGCGTTCGGGTTAATGAGGGAGCAGCCTCGTTAAGGGAGCAGTTTGTGCTTCTTCCCAACTTATTAAGTAATCACATGGGACAGTCTCGGTTTTCACGGTATATAGCTCAAAAGGATTGCGTAATTGATATTTCCAAGTTACAATACTACTGAGTTGTTGAGTGAGTGTAGCTAACTTTGACGTGAGCTTTTCAAGGAAAGTCCTCAAGAAGACATACATACCCCGCGTAAAAGGCCTTTACGATTCAACATCAGGAGTTTATAATGATAAAATAAAATATTTTTACTTTTATCCAGAATATTAAAACTAGCTGTCATCGTTTGGTATTTTTTTGCCTACTCTGTCTCTTGCCTTTCCTTCTCCAGTCTTTACTTTAATATAAACTGAACTCCTAAAAGCTCTTGATCTTTTGGGTTTTAAGTCAGTGAGGTGATATTCCTTCGGTGTTTTGGCTAAATCGCTGCCAAGTCCATTGACGTCTTCGTCGATTTTTTCAAGTCTCTTTTCTTCCTCGTGTTCTTTGTGTGATAGAATTTCTTGCACTTCATGTTCTAATTCTGGGTCCGGTGTATAGGAATCCTTCCGCGTCAGACGAACTATGTTTTCTTGGCCGGGTGTGAAGGTGAGCCTGTAAAATAACGTTAAAAAATTTATACTAATTATGCAGCCATATCCGTCAGTATTCTTCAGCTTCCCCACCACCTTTACACTTAAGACGTTCTAGTTTTAGAGTTGCACCATTACTGGCCTAAAAGCTTTTGACGCAAACTTTTAAGGAGTGGATAACTGCCTTGCGTTCAACATTTCCTCCGTTCAAAAATTTTAATTTTGAATCAACGCAAACAGATCGGAAGGTCAAAGTATCCCTGTCACATGACAGCCACTTCTCCCACGCTTGCTCTCGTCCTGAGGACGAGGCAAAGTAGTTGAACACCATACCTATTCCTAGCGATAAGCCCCAACACTACTCCCTTGAGTTTTCTTCTCGCGTTAAAGGCTGTGAGTCGAACAAACGTTGTTTGCTTGTGGAGGGAGGGGATGACATCTCCTTTAGATATCCACTCGTGGCGCAAAGCTTGAGAAGCCGTTATTCTTTGTTCAGGATTCACGATCAACTGCAAAATAGCAAATTAAAGTTGTGATAAACTGGAGTTGTCACTTCTCATAATCCCAACCGTAACAGGTTGAAGTGGCCTGAAACCGAATAAAACAAGACAAAAGATTTGAGAAATTGCTTTGTTAAAGGAGCTCAGTTACGGTACTTGGAGTTATTTTGGCCACGCACAAAATTGCATTCAAATGGAAGGAAACCTGAAAATAGTAATCTACTAAGTAAGAAAAACACCACAGAGATAACAAGAAACAATAAAGGAGCAAGTATGTTTAAGGATGGAGAAGATTTGCTCGGATTAAAAACGACGAACTTGAAAAAATTGGGCTAAACTTTGTAAGATGCGCAAACCGTGACTAGCTCCTTTAAGCTGATGGAAGTTAGTCGATCAAAAGCATCGGTCCAATAGTCCACTATTCCAACGTAATTTATGACGTGTAGATTTCGTTTGAAAACATTCACGACCTTAATTAGAAAAACTATTTCACCCAGTGTATACAGTGGAATCCCAATTTTTCGAACCCTCAGTTTTTCGACCCTCACGATAACTCGACCCCTGAAAAGTCGTTTCCCCTCCTCAGTCGAACACTGTAATTTTACCCCCGATTTCTCGAACTATCCGATTTTTCGAACCAATTTTCGTTTCCCCTGGAGGTTCGAAAAATGGAAATTTCACTGCAGTTTAAAATGGAATCCTGACCATTTTCTTGATGAGATCCTTGGCTGAATCTGATACTGAATCCCAGTATGGGGAAGGGAACGAGTAGTTTCCTTGTAAAACGCTTAAAAGTAGAATCTCTACCCTCTGGTTCCAGAATGGAGGATATCCAACCTAACAAAAAAAAAAGCAATGTAAAAGAAACATCCTATATTCTAAACGATTGTAAACAAGTGAAAATTATTTTTTCTTGTTGTAAATTAAACCAAAATATCGCGCAGCGGCATAATGAATCGTCAATTTTGTTTGATGATGATGATGATGATGATGATGATGATGATGATGATGATGACGAAGGTAATGATGATAGACCAGTAAAAGTATGACAACGTCCTCCCCAGGCCACCAATGATTATTTTTCAGTCGGTCCTTAGTACATAATGGTTGGAACTGAAACAAACCAACTCACTTCCTTGTTTAATTTCATGTGTGTTGAATTTTGTAAGTGTTGGAAATGTGGAAGAGGCTTTTTAGATAGCGTTGAAAGATTAGAACAGCCAAACTGAAATACGCAGAGGAAAAAAAAACTGATACATAAACTTTTGGTTAAAAAGTTTTAGAATAAGTTTCATAAAATTGCAGCGCCGTACGTTTCACTACTGTGTCGGTGCTAATACTTACAAGTAACAGATAAAGGATAACACCGCAGGCCCAAATGTCCACGGCGCAGCTTACAGGTCTCTCTAACACTGTCTCCGGTGCTAAGTACATTGGTGAACCACTGCCATGACACTCAACCACTTGTCTTCCATCTACAATGTAATGTGAAACCAGTTATTTGCCTTCTGGTGAAGCGCGCACGAAAACGGTATAAAGATATCCCGTAGTTAAAATCAACGGCAACAATACGACAGTAATATTGGAACTTTGGAAATATATGTAATTTTTAAACTAAAAACAAAGATTTGGAAGCGGTGCTATAATTCATAGTTTTATTACTTTCTTTCTTGCTGTTCAAAAGACAATTTAATTCACTCCTGTGTTGCATGGAATATTGTATTCATATCCTTATTATTTTACCTTCGATAGACTTTGCGATTCCAAAATCCGTGAGTTTTATAATTGGCGGACGGTCTACTGTTGGTCTCTCTGCCAACAAAAGATTCTCTGGTTTTAAATCCTACGAGAGAAAATAATCAGACAGTTTACTCAATGGTCCGCAATAATGCGGTTACTATGTACGTATGGGTTATTGACCAAGCGTGAGGTCAAGATGGCTGGATATTGGCCAAGTTCTTTATTGTGTGTTTATGGACCAAGATGTAGTCGAGGGCCATTAACATGCAAAAGAAAATGAGGCCAGTATCCAGCCATCTTGACCGAACAAGCTTTGTCAATAAAGGTTTTATTATATGGCTCCTGTTTCGGCTTCCGGGAAATTTTTTCTTGCGGGACACAGCGCGTAATCTCGAGCGCCATCTTGTCTGCTCGGGCAACCAATCACAGCGCAGAATTTGGTTCATCTCGCCTCTCATATAATAATGGGGCTTAAATCACATTGATTCCAGCCGGTAAAAGAGTAATGTTGCATTAAATCGCAGGGGTTTTGTTGAGATTTTCGGGCACCCCCCCCCCCTCTAAACTATGAAACGAGAGTGCCCCAGGGGTATCGTTTCTTACCCTGTGAATGATTCCTTTCCTTGACAGATAGTTCAACGCAGTAATGATCTGATGTGCACAGGCGCATGCGTCCTTTTCACTGTAGAAAGGTCTCGACACCAGGCCATCAAAGAGGTCCCCGCCAGGAAGATACTCAAGTACCATGAGGACTTTACCTTCTGCGTAAAATACTTCCTCAAGACGAACTATACTCACATGATCGAGTCGTTCTAAGATCTGCAAAAGCGAGAGTGTGAAATTGATAACGTTGTGATAATTGTCGTGAAGCATATCTCTGTGGTAGAACCTTACTGTACCCTCTCTCTTCCCTAGAGTGACCCTTCGATGTACTTAAAATTCTAACTTCGAATTCGTGCCGAAGCTTAGGGGATTAAAACAAAAGAAATCATTTGTTAATCCCTTCACCTCGGTGTGATTTCTTCGACGCCAAGTTGAATATATTGAAACTGGCCCGATAATATGCTACCCGTTAATGTGTCGCAGAAATAACTGCTGCTTTGACTACTTGGGAACAAAACCGAGTAGTGATCGGCTTGGAGCCGGCAGGATTTTACCATTTTAATTCCCCTCCGTGCGAACCTTTTTTTGTAACTTTTGCTTTTTTGACCACTACACAATATGCAATTAGGTTAACTTCAATGTCGTGGAATTAAGATTTTAAAAGTATGCTTTTGTGCCTTAGAGAGTGATTTGTTGTCTAAAGCTTGGACAATTAAACAAACTTCCTTGGGAACAAATTAAAAGAAACAACAAATATCTTTTCGACTGAGGCTGGTCAATCACGGAGCGCGATAGGAACCTCATTAAACCAGAAGTCACCTCTTGCTCCAGAGTAAACTGAGAAACTGACGCAAAACAAAACAAAATTTAATTTCCCCCGGCAGTTGATGTCATAATATTCTCATCTTTAGTTTGTTTTTATAATCAAAGTGGACATATATGCTGTCGTTTTGTAAAAAGGTTCGAGATCCCGTTTGGTTAAAATCTCTCGTGATATGTTATTGTTGTCATAAGAAGCTGGCGTACGTTACGAAATGTAGGGAGTGTCTTCACTAGAATGTGCCAAGTTTTCGAAGGATTTGAAACTATTTTTAAGTAATTAAATACGAGGTTGGCCACTTAATGGATGTTCAACCTCTAAATTAAAACATTTAAACGTTTAATGGTACGGAAAACTTTCAAACGCAAAACAAAAACTGGATGAAACTACTCAAAAGAGTAGCAAAGAAAAACTCAATGAATGTTTTCCATTCCATTAAAGTTTTAATTTCAAGTCAAGAGTTAATCATGTTTGCTATGCGATCAACCATTAAATTTCAAAGCGTCCCTCTGATCCTAGCGCTTAACTCGATACCTTTAGCCCCACAGGGAAACGAATGATCAAAATACTCCTTACCTCGGATTCATTTTCTACTTTTTCTCTATGTTCTGCATCCTCGTAGTGAATTTCCTTGACCGCAAACAGCTGCGACGTTTTTCGATTCACACACTTCTTAACTTCAGCGAACGATCCTTTGCCGATAAGTTCCTTTATCTCGTAAACCTCTTCGAATTTCATATTTTGTTCAGCCTGAGGCAACCAACCTTCCTAACACGCTAATACAAGGAAAGGTCTCTTATACCCGTTTGTACAGGCCCTGGAAAGAACCTCGAAGATGCGCCAAGTTTCGCTTTGTTTGCGCGCAGCTCAAAAATCGTCAACCCCTCACATCTAGTGATTAATGCTTCAAGAATGCCTCGGAAACGAATCGAAGCCAAAGTTTACTCTGTTCATGCAATGCTTGAATATTTTAACACGTCGTTCTTTTGTGCGCGTAAATGTGCGCTTTTGATTGATTGACAAAGCCTTGAATAAAAGTCAAAAGAGCTGTTTGTTAACTGAACAAACATGGACGATAGATAATGCCAAGATCGTTACCCTCTCAAGCTTAAACTCCGTGGTAAAATTCCTTAGAAGAAACCACAACACTTAAGTCACACTTGATTTTATTTTACCCTTGACTTTATCTTCTACAACATCATGAAATACTTTTTGCTTTGACAAGGAGCGTGAGAAATAAATTAACGTGATGTGAAATGTTCTAATGGCCGTCAATTGGTGTCGGCCCAGGTTTTGAAAGCCGACAATAATTTGAATTTTATTACATCATTCTTTTGTCCTGACGTGGAACGTAATTACAGATTTCTCTTTTAATTTCGTCACAAATTTTGATTGAATGTGCAAACAGACTTTGCTTTGCGTTGCCGCACCCTGTTGTTACTAGCTACTCTCCACCGATTGTTTTTGTTTTTCAAAACTGCGAATTTTTTAGCATCATCGAGTCATTCCAAGACTAGAGAGAAATACAACATCGACACCAAATCTCAAGTTTCTTTTCTATTGCCAAAGACAGCCCAGAAACGACTTAACCTAGCAAGGCGACTGTGCTGGACAGGAACGTCTAGAAGCGAGGGAGCTGGGAAGTAGGCAATGAAATGAAAGTAGCCTCTTCACCAGACTCCTTCCCGCCGGATCGCTTCGCTCTTCCCTAAAAGCAAGCGCATGTGCAGTTCGTCTCGTTCCCAGACTCAACAGTAGCGGCGAACCAAGTTGGAACCAGGCGCTCTCGCTTCTAAACTAGATATTTTGCAATTTTTCGATTGGTTGATACGGCCTATCAAAACACGCGCGTGAAATGCCAAAGTTGACGCTATGGCAAATGGCAAAGATTTCCGTCAAACTCAGATAATTGATCGAGCCTCCACCTCAGCCTGGAGATGGATAAATTCTTAGGCTAGGGTACTATGCATATAGATAACTGACCAATCGTGAGGTCAAGATGGCTGGATGTTTACGGACCGAGCCGGAGCGGTCAAGGTCCATAGACGCGACAAAAAAGAAGATCGGTGGTATCCATTTATACCGGCACCTGGCTGGAGAGAAGCACTGAGTGCTAACAACAACTTAACATAATTACCTTGACCGTCCCTTGGCCAGCCCACAAAAAATTCGCACAAAATCGATTGGTGAAGGAGAAAATTCTTTCGCTCTGATTGGATAGAACGTTTTGAAAACTTAGGAAAATTGCTTCTAGAATTTAAGAATGTCTGCGGCAAACTTGAATAACAATAGGAAAATTATTTTGCAACGGTTCGCTAGGTGCAAGAATGTACTGTGTTATGCCTCACACTAGTAACGTCTGCCTCACACCAGTAACGTAACGGCAAGGTCACGCAAACTGATGTTTTAGTGCCCTGCAGCGTGAACAACACAACATAGCGACATAACAGTAGCATAATGACATAGGGAAAGGCTAATCTTTTCTACCTGTT